CTTGGCTTCACATAGGCGTCTTCTAATTGTAACAGTCCTCACAGGTAACTTTACACCTTCTTTGATCTTCCTGGAGCTGACCTCACTAATAGAACTCCACACTGCTATTATTTTGAACATGCCCCTTTCAATCAGTGATTCGATTACACAGAATCAGCAGCATGCATGTCATGACTGTTGGGTCTGTTGGATTTCTATTACTCTACTACACCTGCTAGTAAATTATCTGCCATGTAGAAATATCATTTCTACCAAAAACAGTGATTCAGGTTAGTGATGTCTGACTGCTATTATTTTGAACATGTATATACACACACACACACACACACACACATATATATATATACACATATATATATACACACACACACACACACACACACACACACACAAAATTCATCTGATTTTTTAAAATTATTAACTCATTAAATATAGTCTATTTATCCTTGTATATTTTGACCAGTGTTTAAAACGGTTTTCATCTTATATGATTCGTGCATGCTATATGAACAGATAGTTATGTGTAGATTTGTGTTTAAGCCCTGATGAAGGAAGTCTTTAGCCCCTGAAACGCTAAAGTCAGAGAACAGGACATGCTTGCAGACTAGCAGTATTAAAAAGTACTTGTACCATTTATCCCTGTTAGAAGCGGTTAGTGCAGCAGAACAAAAAAAAAAAAAAAAAAAAAAAAAAAACCCCCTCTCATTACAGCTATGAGCAAGTATGTCTCCCTCCGTTTTCTCTCTTTGCCAGGAACTGTGACCATTACCGCACACATATGAATTCTAAAATCTCTCCAAAAATCTGTTCCCGACAGCCGTGTAAGGTAGAGGTTGCAGAACTTTAGAAAGCCTTGCACTAATGATGACAGTGCGGAGACAGATTAGCAGATTATTACAGGTTAGCAGTGTAAAGTTACAGAGGAGGTCTAGTGCTAGAATTATTGCTCTGACGTTTGTTGCAATACCTCACATGTGTGGTTTAAACCGTTTACATGGTTTTTATTTGGTTTTAAAAGAAAAAAAACACAAAACACTGAGCATTAACCAATAGCCGCCTGGGTTTTTATTTGGTTTTAAAGAAAAAAAAACAATAGCCGTTTTTGGCGGTCGGGAAAAGGCTGTAGATTTCCGGATGGACGCCACATGGCGTCCTCCCGCACATGCTTGCAGAGCCGCGCGATCTGTCACCGGCCGTGTACCTCGCACAGATCTGAGTACCGGCCCCCGTTGCCAGTACTATGTGACCTGCTGTGACCAATCACAGCAGGTCACATGACAGTTGTATACAATGGATGGCTTCATTCATGCCATCCATTGTATACTAGTGTCTAGCTGTGAATGGTCACAGCGATCACATGCACATGTCATGTGATTAGCTGTGGCCAAATCACAGCTAAGCACAAAAAAAAACAAACAAAAAAAAACCCCTGAATGAATTTATGTCATTCAGGTAAATGCTTGCTTATAGTAAAGTAATTCTTTGCTATAAGCAAATTGTGTAAAAAAAAAATAAAAATAAAAAAATACTGATCACTTCCCCAAAGTAGTACAATGTTACTATGGTAACTACTTTGGACATAGTGAAATATGAAAAAGAAAAAAAATAAAAGTAAACAAAAGTAATAAAAAAATTAAAAATAAAGAGATATAGATATATATAGATAGATATATATATATTTTTTTTCATACTGTCACCAGTCAGTGTCCCTGATCACCGCCATGCCAGTTATATGACGCTGTACTGCACTGCTGACAGTATATTAAAAAAAAAAAGTGAAATTTTTTTTAATTTTCCGAAAAATTGACAAAAAAAAAAAAAAAACACAACTTCAAAAAAACTCACCATGCCTCTTATGACGTACGTCGGACTGTCTACTTTGCAAAAAGGGGTCATTTGGGGGATATCTGTACTGTTCTGACATTCTTGGACCTCAAGAAATTAGATTGGCTGTCAGTACTTCAGGATTGATCCCATAGTTTGTGAACTCTATAACTTTACTACAAACTAAAAAAATACATCCTAATTTGGGTTATTTTCACCAAAGACATGTAGCAGAATACATCTCGGCCTAAATTTATGAACAATTATTTATTTGCAAACTTTTATAACAGAAACAATGAAAAACGTTTTTTTTTTTTTTCAAAATTTTTCGGTCTTTTTTTGTTAAATTTAGCAAAAAATAAAAAAAAACCCGGCGGTGATTAAATACCACCAAAAGAAAGCTCTAGTTGTGTGAAGAAAATGATAAAATTTTAGTTTGGGTACAATGTTGTATGACCGTGCAATTGTCATTCAAAGTGTGAGAGCGCTGAAACCTGAAAAATGGCCTGGGCAGGAAGGGGGTAAATGTGCCCGGTATGGAAATGGTTAAAGAAAAAATTAAAAAAAAAAAAAATCAATCACTTATTTCTATCACATGGAATGCATGCATCCCTTGTGATGCAATTAGTGACAGGTCCTCTTTATGGGGTCAATAGGTTCCCACATCTGTCCTCTACAACATAAAGCATTAGATGGGAAGGGAAAAAAAAAAAAAAAAAAAAAAAAAAAATGCCCTTGTTTACAAGATGCATGAACCGGAAGTGACATCGCTCCGGTCCTCCAGGGGCATAGAGATGAGTGGAGGCCATCTTTCCTTCATTTATCTCTATGCCGAGCACCGGGAACGTTCGGTAGTTTCTTAGATAAGGCTGAGAACTACCGAAAGGAAGGGCTGGGTTATTTTCAGCACCTATATCGGTGCTTATTTTCACATCGGCCAACAGCCGATAGGGGTGCTTTCGGCCGAAATGTTTTGGCCAACGAACGTTTGGTGGACCCCTATCTAAAATTATGGACAGTTTCAAGGCACCCCAATCTAAAAATGTAAAAAATGTGTTTTATATAAATCATCAACATCCACACATATAGGACACCCAACATTATAGGTGATTTATTCTTCCAAGTCAAATACACTTCTGCACACTGGTACTGACTAGTTTTCCAGTGTTTCTCTTCTCAATGTTTTCTCCATTACTCAGCTAATGTGACCGAAGCACAGAGAGCATGGGAAGGGTCAAACAAGGATGCTGTGCAGATGACCAACATCCTCCTTATCACCTGATGTCATTGGTTGTTGGGATGCTGGTGGCTAGAAGGTTGTAATGGTACTTAATGAAAATCTGTGGCTTTGTGTAACTAAAAGGAAGGCTTGACCCACCTCTGGCTTGTATACAATTTTTGGGCATTTTGACAAGGCACCCCTGAAGAAACTTCAAGGTACCCCAGGGTGCCTGGGCACCCTGATTGAGAAAGGCTGGTCTAGATACAGTTTAATAATCAAATGCATGGACTACGTAGTGTGAGTTTGTAATTCTTCCCTAAATCATAAAACTGGTAGGCTTTACAAAGGAGGATGGTGATAGGATTCTCCTTTACTCAGGCAAATTATTTTTTTCTTTCCTAATACAGGTTAATATGAATTGAAAAAAGGCACCCTGGCTGGAAAAGGCTGTCAGCCTATAGCACAAAGTATTAGCAGGGTACCATATTTAGGTCACAATATTTATATCATTTCTGCATAATTTTTGGCGCTGCTTTTTTGTTTATATAAAAAGGGCAGCAGCGCCATTTGCAGCTCCAGCTGACAATCATCCATACATGAAGCATGCAAAGCACTCACCTCTCCCATTCCTCGAGATTCTAATGCCAGTGCCTGGAAACCGTGATTCAAGTCATCTGCAGACCTCACCTAGAAACCAGAAAACAGGGCTGTAATTCTATCCAGGCCATCTCCATATGCTCACAAGAGAAAAGTCCCCACTTGGCCCCTCAATTAAAAACACATGACAAAGGAGCAGGAGGTGGTCTGCAGGTGACAGACGTGTGAGGCCCACCACTCAAAAGGGATGACAGAGACAGCTTGTGAAACTGAAGACAATCCAGCATGATTTCACCTCTATGGTAGCAGTTAGTCACTTCAGGAAGATTAGGGTGGTGTTATCCAATTAACACAAAGCAGGGAATTTCAGAAAGAAGTCCAAATACTACAGAGACAAGGCAAACAGCCTTGAAGAAATAAAAGGGAAAATTTGTGCTTTTTTTCAGTAAGCATTTATTGTAAATCATTACATACATGCTACTTCTGCATTCTAGTGTCTATTACCAGCAGCCTTTCTGAAAGAGGATTCCCAATAAAGATGGGAGTCCCCTATTTGACAGAAATCCCCACAACTATCTGTATAATACAGGTTGGCAACCTTAGCACTCCAGCTGCCATGGAACTACAAGTCCCATAAGACACTGCAAGTCTGAAAGCCACAGGCATGACTCCCAGAGGTATGATGGGATTTATAGTTTCATCACAGTGGAGAGAGGTTACCTACCCCTGGTATAACAGCACAACTTTCAATGTACGGCATCATGAAAATGCCTCTTTGTTAAGTCAAGAACAAAAAAAAAAAAAAAAAAAAAAAAAGTGCATCTAATGAAAAAAAAAAATAATTTGTTTTTGGATAGACTGGAGAAAGGTTAGACCCCCAGTGGGGTTTTTCCTGCTGTGTGTTGTGCACAGATTCACCCTGGGTGACCACCATTACTGGGACAGAAAGGGAGAGGAAATACAACTTGTGAGTTTTCACAGGACAAAAATAGAAGGAAAACCTTCCAATGAGGACATGTGTCCTGGTAGCAACTGTCCAATAGAATTACCCCACTAAAGAGATTTCTTCTTCCATTCTGTTGCCAATAGGAAACAAAAGGTTTTGGGTCTACTTTATCTTAAGCGCTTAAGGACCGCCCTAAAGCAGATATACTACTACAGGGCAGAACCTATGTGCAAAATCACGTATATATACCAGCCCTACCATTTGCGGCCGCGGATGTCAATCACTGGGTCCCGGACGGTAATTACCGAGCATCTCCGACGGGGTGGAAGATTGTTTTGTTTACAAACAATCTTCCTCCCTGTCAGCTCGAGCACAGCGCTCGGGATGGCTGTGCACAGTACAGCCATCCTGATCAGTGTGCTTACAGTGAAGAACACACCCCCCACCCCCTAGTAAACACTCCCTACACAGTGTTAACTCTTTGATCGCCCCTCACATTGACCCCTTCCTGCCCAGTGCCATTAGTACAGTGTCAGTGCTTTTTTTTTTTTTTTTTTTTTTTTAGCACTGATCACTGTATTGGTGTCACTGGGGGTGTCAGTGATGTCAAGTAAGTTCCCCCCAGTGTCAAAATGTCTGCCACAGTCCCGCAAAAAGTTGCTGATCACCGCCATTACTAGTAGAAGAAAAAAAAAAAAAAATACCACTATACCGCCATTTGTAAACGCTATAACATTCACATAAACCAATTTACACGTTTTGGGATTTTTTATTTTTTTTTTTAGCAAAAGACATGTAGCAGAATACATTGTGACCTAAATTTATTACAAAATTTGTTTAAAATTTTTCTTACTGGACATGTTTAATTAGTAAAAAAAATACAAAATATTGTTTTTCAAAATTGTCAGTTTTTTTTTTTTTTAACTTGTAGTGCAAAAAAAAAAAAAAAACAAACAAAAAAATGCACAGATCAAATACCACTGAAAGAAAGTGCAATACGTGGGGGGACGTAAAATTTAATTTGGGTGCAGTGTTGCATGACCATGCAATTGTCAGTAACCCAGCACCGTAACGCAAAAAATGGCCTGGTCGTGAAGGGGGGTAAATCCTCAGGAGGGCGAGTGGTTAAAAAAACATTTGTTTTAATAAGATAAATATGAAATTGCATATACACATTTAGAATTCTTCTATTCAGCCAGCAGGTGGAGCGGTAAACTCTGGTTTACATTTTTCAGTTTTACCTTTTACAGAGCTCAATAGCCAAAGTTTTGTTTTTTTTTTTTTAAATCACTTTCCTTTGATTAGTATATTTCAGCATGCTGCTAATACAATAATCTTGTGCATAAAGCTGCACTTAATTTGCCAATAGCACTACACAAAATATAACAAGGTACTCAGCTAGGTTTTTAAAAGAGAAGCTGTCCTCTTACCCATTCTGGATACAGCGACAGAGCCTTTGTAAAAGGGTATTCTTCAACCTAACTGTACACATTTTGCTTCCGCTTGGTACTCAGGGTCTACATGTAGTTTCCCAGAACACACAGCCAGTGCAAGAGGGACACACAGGAAAAGGGACGCCACTTCTCTACAGCAGGAGCTGCTATCAATCACTGTTCTGTAGAGAGTGGCTTTTCCTCCGTGTTTCCCGCTTGTGTTGGCTGTACGTGCGCTCTGAGCAGCTGCATGTAGACAAGGAGTACAGAGCAGAAGCATGGACATAGGAATCACACAGGACTAGTCAGCATTTCCTTATGCCCAGCAACCCCAATCCTCCATAGGGCAGCTGTACAAAGCCATGCTGCCTTGAGCATACGCAGTAAACCTGTCTTCAGGTGGACCACATGACAATGGTGCTTCCTGCCCATACAGCCAATGCTAGCCTAGAGATTCAGCTCTCCATCATGATATCAGGTATGAGATGATTGCATTTTATTTTACGGCTATCAAAATTTGAAATGCTTTGGACAGATATTTTTCATGTTTGTTTCTATGGCATTCAAGACTTGGTTTTGTGGTAGATTGTTTTTGGAATAAGCAACTGGATAGGAGGCAGTTATCCGATTGTTCACCTGTGGTCTATTGATATGTGTATGATATAATCCTATAGTGGGCCTACACAAATGTAGTCTGCAGCATACATGCTACAGCCTTGGATCAATTAGTACTCATTCTGCAGCTACTGTAGGAGATCACGACTAATTTAGATACTATGGTGCAAATATTGCATTAAGGGCCAGTTCACACTATATGCATTTCATTGGGATTTTTTCTGCATCCAAATATGCATAGAAAGTAGGTTACATGGTTGTCAATGTCATAATTCACATCAGTGCTCGTAGTTTCTGTACATTCTGGTTGTAGAAAAGAAAAGGCTACATTTTTCATGCACAGAACTGTGCTGGAACACAGTAAAACGCATCAAAAATGTACCAAAAATGCACTGAAGCACTTGTCCCTAATTAAATTGAAGAGGGGAAAAAAAAAAAAAAAAAAAAATGAACGCATCAAAAATGCACTGGAACACGCCAGAAACGTGTCAAATACGTGCATACAGAAACACATCTAAATTTCTATGGTGAACTGGCCCTAAAAAGAATTCAACACATCCCTGAGTAAAATCAGTCTGTATATGCAGTAAAGCATGCTTGTTATCCTCACTGTGAAACCCAAGGATTAATCCTCTGCATTGGGTAAAAAGGCCAGTTGATCCTGTCTTCTCTGATCCTCCCATACTACTGTCCCCAATCCATCTGCTGATAGTACAGAGCTCTAGGAGTCAGTCTGCACATGCTCAGTTTATTGTGCATGGCTAGAGTTTTTTTTTTCTTTGGGAGGGTTCATGTGATCAGCATAAGGCCAATCAGCGCTGTCCACACAGGGTCAGGGGTTATGCACCCTCATTAGGTCAGAGCAGAATAAAAGCTCCTCCTACAAGCTCTAACCAGTGCTCAGCTGGACACTGATAGAAGTCACAAGACTCCTATATACTGCTGATGTGAAAGTATTTAGCAGTTTATATTTACTAAAATAATTGCAATTCCATGTTCTGTGTACTGTGGGAGACCAGATATAGTGGATTCAGAGTCCTGGGTTTAGTAACACTTTAAGCTTTGTTCTATGATCAGAGAAGCTCAGAAAATACAGCATGTAGTATTTGTGTGGCCTCGTTCACAGGGCATACACCGTACACCCATGCATGGCCATGTTTTTCAGCATGGGAATGCACAAGTGCTCACAAGGCATGAGGGCCGAATCTGGTCCACCAGGTCATTTCATGGGACCCTCCCAGATCTCCTGCAGCTGCGGCACACCCCTCGTCTCCGCTCCCACCTTGTCCCTACAGTCAGTAGCTAAGAGGATGACAGCACTCCTCTGCCAGATACCGTGATTCTCTGTATAGCAGCTGAGAGGCTTGTCTGTCTCCCTCCCGTGTCTCAGTCAGCAGCAGAGAGGAAGACAGGCCTCAGCCAGATCCTGTGCATCACTGTGCAGCAACAGCATCCCCTTGTCTCTGCCTCCCCTGGCCTCAGCATTCAGAAGACTATGGTAGCCGACTGCAGCCTTCTTCTGGTCCTTCTGCAGATCCTGCACTACTTCTTAGCTCCACTCTCAGCTTCTTACTGGCAGTAGCAGCAGAGGTGAGGGTACACCGTGATGTATGGGAGGGTGGGGGACTCTAGTTCTGATGTAAGGGAGTGGGTAGAGTGTGCGCTTGACATCTAGTCTTACAGATGTAGCCAGCCCTTCAAAGTGACCCATGAAGAGATTTACACCCCTGCCCTAGAGAATAAAACACTAGTAGATTTAACTTTTAGGAAACACAATTTAAGTTAATCATACACTAAAAGGGGATTTCTGGGGTATATAAAACAAAAATTTACCTAGTTTTTTTGCTAAAATAAAAATGAGGTTACGCCGAGTAAATAGATACCCAACATGTCAAGCCTTAAATTGAGAGCACCTGTGAAATGGTAACTTTTGGTACCCTATATTTTTTGTAGATCAAATGTTTAAAAGCCCCTACAGGTCATCACTTTAGAGTTATTGGGAGGTCTGGTGCTATAATTATTGATCTCCCTGTAGCATGTGCCGTGATATGCAACGTGTAAGTCAACTGCCGTTTTCATACATAGGTGCTCCAAAACGGTTTTTTTTTGTATGTACGTGTGTAATGTGGGGGCTCTAATTTTTTTTTTTCTTAAATTATTAATCTGTCTTTAATTTTTTTTTAACCAGTGATGGAACAGTTTTCCTTTACTTAAGCACAGGACAAAAACAGCATTGTAGGAGCCAGTACAATGAAGCATAGCACACAGCAGGGCACCAGGCACACTGTCACAACCAGAAGTGTGTCAGATGCGGAATACTTTTTAATTCACTTGTGAGAAAGAAAAAAAAAAAACAAAAAAAAAAAAACTACATGCCTTTTAGTGGACTGAAACTGCAAGAATTGTTGTCAATCCTGCCCATCTATCCACTGTTAATCTAATAGATTCCACCCGTTCCCCTCATCCCTACAGCATAGGGACTAGTTCTGTAGTGCAAGATAAACACTGGGAGAACTCCTTGTGATAACACAGGAAATGTGTACAGGCCACAGGACAGCACTGACATCTTGACAAGATTGATAACGTTGAGGAATTTTGGATATGGTTTCAGTCCTGCTGAAGGCCTGATAGTTGTGGTTTGTTCTTCAGCAACTCCATATGGGTCCTTTAACCTGGGCATTCGTTTGTTTTTTTTTTTTTTTATCAGTTCAGTCATGTTTTTTCAGAGAAAAAAAAAAACGGATCTGTTTTTAACATCCTTTACTAATGCAAAAACAGATGCAAAAATGGACTGTCAGTTTACATCCGTTTTTAGTCCATTACGGTTTATTTCCATGGAAGAAACAGGGTTTTCTTCAACTCAAAAAAAACGGATGTTAATGGATGCGGACATAGGGAACACCCGTGTGAAAGGATCATATAACAAAAAGCTTCTAATGGTATATTTTACAGAGAGTAAATCAGGTAACTTTTAGAAAGAGAATTCAAAACATAGCAATGAGCTAATAAGAACCTGTTATTTCAAGAAGGGAACACCCGACTACATACCGAAGCCTCCACGCTATCTCCTGTTGGCCATCGGTGCTTGTTGCTGTAGCCATTCACCTGTTCTCCGGCTTGTCTTTGGAAGAAATATCCCACTGTGGCATCATCCTGAGAGCGGCCGCTCAAAGGCACCTGTGCGTTGGAAGCACCGGGAGGAATGGCATGTGGATGGTTTCCAATGGGTCCTGACACTGTTCCTCCGGAGGGGACCATCCCGACTGCAACCCCAAGTGCATCCTGCCCATTGCTCGCATGCATTATTCCTCTGGTCTCTTGCCAAGCCACTTCATTCATGCCTACGACACATGGAATGTTCATTCCACATAGGCACCTGCAAAAGACACAAAAGCCAAAATGAATCAAAAAAAAGTAAACATATTAAAAGACTTAAAGCTCATTGCAACCGTCATATAAGCTAAATACATTCCAGCATCAAAACAAAAAAGATGAGCAAAGTCTTACTAATTGGCAAAAAAAAAAAAATCCCACAAGCCTGTGCCCTGCGCCAGGATGCAAAGGACCAGTTTTTCTCTGTGTGTGGAAGCAGAGGTCTCTCTTCAGATATTGATAGCCATTTTAGGCAGACGATGAGTCAGTATTTACTCAAGGAACCCCTAAAACAGGGCTTGACAAAATCTTAGGTGTCAGGTCGCCATGGTGATCAGAAACCCCATCCTGTTGCCTGGGCCCCCTCCAGCCCACACTGCCCTGTGCTTCCCTACCCCACATCCTTGGCTGGTCCCTCTCTCCTGCCCCACAGAGCTGAGGCCAGCCCATTGTCCTGGGACCCCGGACAGACAGAGCCACCCGGTGCATACCTCCCCCCCCCCTCCCTAAACTACCCCCGCACAGCCCGAAAGCCTCCCCCCAGGAGGACACCGCAGCCCCCCCACGAGAATCCATGGAGCAGAGGACACACGTGGAGCCGGTTAATATCACCTTTAATGGCAGTGGCCACCAACACATGCAGCCATCGACCACAACAACCAGGCAGACACAGGCTCGGCTTCTGTCACCAGATCCTCTCTGCTGCCCCGCCTCCTGTCATGCTGCACCCCACTTTGCCCTTAGATTCAAAAAACTTGTCAAGCCCTGCCCTATAAACTTTTGGAGGAACCCTAGTTGAGAAAGTCCGGTCTAGTCTATTGATCAGATAATGCAGTGAAAGGTATCCTTGTTGGGAATGTATACCCCTTGCTGATGCCAGTCACATGGCCAAAAGCCACTGAAAATGCCACCATATAGTCACATGACCACAGATGAGCAGGACCAGATCAGTGACGCCCAGTCAGTGCTGATCAACCAGCAGTTTGTGTGAACGCTGATATTTCCTTTCAGCAGAGAGCATGTACCAGTGGAAAGAAGAAATTCCGGTTTGCAAAAAAAGTATTTTTTTTTTTCTTTACACATTTATGTTATTGCTTAACAAACAAACAAAAAAAACCCTGAAGTCTATTTAAATACTCAACCTGAGTAAAAGATGTACAGTGAATGCCAGGAATTTTTTTTGGAGGAGGCTCACAGCAGTCCTATTATATATGAATCCATTGACTGTCCAGTCTGAAATATACCACCATTATAACAGTGTCTTACATGGCAAATACACCAAAAGCAATAATCCACATAGAACAGTAAATATATCCACATGATCCCACCATTATTCCTGCCATGTCCATTTTTTTTAATTTAGAAAATGGAAAAAAAAAACAAAAAGTTGAAAATGATTCAAGAGAAAGAAATGCAGCAGTATTAAACTTCGCATGAAAATCTCACATGAGCAAGTTTGCTCACCACCTTCCCATCTATACATCTGAACACCCCAGTTAATATGATCCTCATACTTATTTATAGCTGGACAGATACATAAAGGTTACTTCAAATATAGCTCTTCATCATAACAGAGATAAGTGCCTATGTAGGACACAGATATTGTTTATTACATTAACGTGCACCTGCGTCTAGAAATAGTTTATGATTTTTAAGTCACTCTGTACCACATTCAGAAAACTAGTGAGCACCCCTCGTAGTTCACTGGAACTTCCTATAGCATTGGAACTGGTTTGTCTGTATGGCGGTACAGGCAGACAAACTGGAGGCAGTGTCTGCAAATAGCCTTACACTGGATTTGCAATCTACTGATCAGGGGTACAATGCTCTGCACGGTCATCAGGAAAAAACTAAATATATATATATATATATATATATTTTATTATTTTTTTTTTTATATATATATATTTTTTATTTATTTTTTTTTTTTGCTGCAAAAATATGTATTTTTTCTTAAAGGTGAACTTATCCTTTATCAAAAACAAAAAAACTTTTACTGGAAAAAATGCAGACAATGTTGACAGTTTGCCAAGGCACAGGCCAGCTGCTTTCTGACAAAGTAGGTTCAAAGTGTCTGCCTGCATGTCAATCCTCAAATACCCTTGTAACCGTTGTGTGTTTAAGGTCTAAGGCTCTGTTCACATACAGGAATTTTAAATCGCAGGCGGAATCACCGAGATTCTCTGCCCGCAATTTGAAAAAGCGCTGTAAAAATGTGAAATTGCACATCAGCATGTTCATGTACCATTAATTTCAAAAGGCACCTGAAAAAGTGGGGCATTCTTGCAGAGAGTTTTTTCATGCAACAATCGTGCCAGGATCACGCAAAGAAAATTTGCATGTGTAAAAGTAGTTCTTCAACCTCCTTTGCGTGAAAAAACATGCGGAAATCACGGCAAAAATGCCCCACGGTTTCAGGTGCCCATGAAATGAATGGCACATGAACACACTGATGCACAATTTCACATTTTAACAGCACGTTTTCAAATCACGGCAGATCCACCCACGATTTAAAAATGCATGTATGTAAATGGCGTGTAAAATGAATGTTTTCCTCATATTTTAGAACTGCTCAAAATTTAGCCATAGGTCTGGTAAAATACAGAATTATGCAATCCTGCATCAAAGTGTACGTAAAACTTAAATTACCTTCTTCTGTTTTTTACTTTTTTGTTTTTTAATATACAATTGAAAAATGTATTGTTATATACCCCAAGGCCAATAATCAGACCACCAAGCCCCACATTGCTTGGATAAGGGGCACAATGCTTAAATGTGCATGTTGCAGAACAAGCCTGCTTCTTTAGGACAAATTACAAATAAGTACTTTATTTGAAACACTCCATCTAGAATGGTGGTGAAGATGGGCCCCCACCTTTTGATTATGTATTACAGGTATTTATATTGCACTGACAGTTTACATATGTATTGCAGATTCACACCAGCCCCTTCCCTCAAGGAGCTTACAATCTAAGATCTCTCACATTCATACAGTGGGGATCGAACGTTTGGGCACCCCAGCTAAAAATTTGTATTAATGTGCATAAAGAAGCCAAGGAAAGATTGAAAAATCTCCAAAAGGCATCAAATTACAGATTAGACATTCTTATAATATGTCAACAAAAGTTAGATTTTATTTCCATCATTTACACTTTCAACGTAACAGAAAACAAAAAAAATGGCGTCTGCAAAAGTTTGGGCACCCTGCAGAGTTAATATCTTGTACTGCCCCCTTTGGCAAGTATCACAGCTTGGAAACGCTTTTTGTAGCCAGCCAAGAGTCTTTCAATTCTTGTTTGAGGTATCTTTGCCCATTCTTCCTTACAAAAGTCTTCCAGTTCTTTGAGATTTCTGGGCTGTCTGTCACGCACTGCACATAATCGATAATAAATTATAAAAATAGTATTCATAATCGAATAGTTGGTCGACTAATTGGTTGACCTGCATACAGAATTAATTCTTTTTTTACATATCAGAAAATAGTGCAGCACACATACAGCTGAGAAGTTGTGAATGTGAGAGGAACAATGCCTCGTGGGACATGTAGGCAGGAGAAGAAAGTGAATGATTCTAGGCAGGCAGAAGTTTTTTTTAATTTGCTATAGGGGTACTCTATACTAGTTGTGCGCCGAAATGAAAATTTTAGGACCGTAACCGAAAATTCAGGATGCATTTGGCCGAAAAATAAAAAAGGACAGTTTTTTTAAAAAATATAACTATTCTATTTGACTTTTTAATTAAGATCATGAATATAAAATGAATATGAATTTATTTTCAGCACCTTTCAGCCAATAGGCGGCTTTCACACTGAGCAGTTTTTGCAGCTCTTTTACAATTAAAAAAGTACAAGAATCCATCCCTTTAAATTCAACGTATGTCTTCCCACTGGTCTGTTGCACTTCCCCTGTGGTGTTAAAAATCCTGCTTGCCACGTTTTTTGGTGCATATTTGGCTAGTAAAAGGGGAAAAAAAAAAAAAAAAAAAAAAAAAAGCCACCAAAAACGCACCTCCCCATTAAGGCCTGGTTCACACCAATGAGTTTTTAAGGCTTTTTGCAGGAATGCACTGCCGTCCATTTAGCATCGTTTCCTATGGCACACGTTCATATCTATGGTTTCTTGAGCTGTTACATTTTTGGAAAGGGTCAGGGACCTTTTTTTTTTTTTTTTAAACTAAAAAATGTTGAGCTTTCAATGGAGGCACTGCAGAAACCGCAAGCAGTGAGTTTTCACGTGGCTGCATGCCATTTGCGCTTATGCACAAAAACGCATCAAAAATGTGCATGCAAAAATGCATATTGCACTGCAAAAACGGACAAAGTGAAAACTGCATTGTGTGAAACAGGCCTGAAATGCATTGAAAATACAGCATAAAAACACCCATGTTGCGTTTTTAATCTGCCCAGCAACAAGTCTGCCAGAAAATAAATTAAACGCAAAACGTATAAAAATAAAGTGCATCCAAATACACACTGCAAAATGGACAAAACACAAACTGGACTGGTGTGAGCCAGGCCTGAAATGCATTGAAAACCCATCAAAAACACACTTGAGTTTTCATGAGTTTTTTTTTGTCACATGACCTTGAAAAAAGCACCCTAAATGTGGTAAAATGGAAGGCAAAATCATACATTTTCGGCGGCCATTATCAGCATTTTTCTTATCAGCAAAATGCCAATAATTATTTTCGGCTGATGCATTTATGCTGCATTCCTACTCTATACTATACTTTGTGGCTTGCTATAGGGGCACTCTGAAGGCAGGAGGAGCCAGAAGCACCAGCGGGGGGGGGGGGGGGACTCCAGAAGAGGAGAATCAGGGCTGATCTGTGCAAAACAAATTACATAAAGCAGGAAAGTATAACATGTTATTTTAAAAAAAAAAATCCAACGTTTACAATCACTTTAAGGTCTCTGTGAAGAGAAGATCAGCATTTGAACCCAGAGAAGCTGGAGGCTGATAGACAAAGTAATAAAAGGCAATACAATGACA